TCCACCCACTCACCCTTTCTTGAATCAGAAAAATAAAATAAAAAATAAAACTTTTACCCTAAGTAAGTATAGTTAATTGGTGTTATGAGCTGTGCCCCCACCCACCCCACCCCACACCCAAAATTTCAAATGTTGAAGTCCTACCCCCAATACCTCAGAATGTGATTCTTTGGAGACAGAGCCACATGACACAGGGAGAAGACTGCCATCTGCAAGCCAAGGTGAGAGGCCTCAGCAGCAACCGATCCTACTGACACCTTGATCTTGGGGCTTGTAGCCTCCAGGATTATGAGAAAATACATTTCTGTCGTTTAAAGCTCCCAGTCTGTGATGCTTTTTTCCCGGCAGCCCTGGAAAACTGATAGGGTTGAAAAGGAGGCAGCTACATTGCATAGGTGAAAAATTATAAAAATAGGCAGTAATTAAGGGGAGAAGTGATAGTTATATATTAATGACCCAGGTTCTGAGGAAAGGGTTTGCAGTCTATATCAAGGGCTAGGTTGGCCAGGAAGCATGTGGCTTTTGCTGGCATTAGCCCATGTACACAGCCCCAGCACAGCAGTTGTATGTCTTGGAGAGATATGCTGCTCCTATGACCATGGTCTCAGAGCTGTAACCACCAAGCCAGGAGCTCGAGCTGGGCCCTAACTGGGTGCCGCCTGGGCAATCTGCAGGCCCCTCCATAGACTGGCCAGCGTCTGGGCAGAAGCAGGCCATTTCTCACTCCACTTGGAATTTGAAAGAGATCTGACCTCTTTTGATTGAGTGAGACCCTGGGATTCTGGCACAAAGTTGAAGACTTTGGACTTTTTAAAATGGGACACTTGAATGTTCTAGCTATTAATTGTGGAGGGAGAGTAATGTGGCTAAATTTATACTCTAAGTGTTTGGGCAAACCATGCCTTATATATGTAACTTGCATATAACAGTAGGGTTATGCTATTTCAAAATAAGTTAGCTATGGTTCTTCTTGCCTTCTTTTTCTTCCACAAGCATGAGAAATTATGCTAGAGTTCCTGAAACGTGGCAAATAGCTGGAGCTGGGGTGGTTTGAGCAAGGATCAACAGCTTTCTTCTTTGTGGCAATTCTCTTTCCCCTTAACACATTTTTTTTCAATAAAAACGTTTTGAGCATTTATTAATAGCCAACATTTATTAAATGTTTACTATGTGAAAAGCACTGCACTAGGCACTTTACATGCAGAATAGAGGTATTAAAATTATCTCTCTTTTACAGATGAAGATAGAGGTCAAGTCACTTATGCAAGATCAAGTCCAAGTTCAAGCATCTAGTCAGTAACAGAACCAGGATTCAAGCCCAGTTAGTCAGGCTCCACAGCCTAGGCTGGAACCATAGAAGACTCTGGGCTTGAGCCCTGTAGAAAGATGGAATAATTATGGTTCGGTTATGTTTTTGTTTTGTTTTTTTCTTTTTTTTCAAGTTGCTAAGGGGTGGGGCTGAAGAGAACACATGAGAGAAATAACTACATAATCACATGCAAAGAAATAACTACATAATTAACACTTAACCCTGCTTGCTCTACCCCATCACAACTAGGAAAAGCAAAAGTTGAAATACCATTCCATAAGACTTTGATGTAATAGATTTAATCCCCTCCAAAAATAGTTCAGCTCTCTATCGAGGTTCTCATATGACAAATGGACCAGCTGTGTGAATAGCTGACTTTGTTTTTTCTAAGGTTTTGAAATGTATTTACTGCCCACTTAGTTTGCCATGGTTATGCAGTCAGAGCATGGGTCACCTTGAGGATGTTCATGGTCTCTCAGGCCCTCTCCTTGTCTATGAAACGGGGCTTTCAGGGGGACGATTTCCCAGAGCCCCTTCCCACTCTGCAAGTTGGATTCTCACTACACATGAGACCACTGTAGGGAAGTGAAAGTCATATTTAACCTCTTTTCTGATGAAAGCATGCAAAATCCAAGGCAGTTTTTATTTTGCTTACATTAATATTGGTCCCTGGGGAAAAATGTAACATGGAATGCTGCTGGCTTTAGGATTCACTATGGAGACCACATATCTGATTTTTGCCAAAAGAAACTTTTCAAAGCTTGCTGAGTAGATTTCAGTTTGGAATAAGTCTTAGAAGGAAGCATTGTTAGACAAGGTTTTGAAATTCCAGGGCATGGTAAGTAATGTGGCTGTCTTTAAAACCTAAGGAAGTTGTATGATAATTGAAATGTATTTAGTATATTCTATGTATTTGCTACATTTTTGTGTATTCTAATTGATGATTGTTCTAACATATAAAAATCGACATTTATTGTTTCTTTAATTCTAAATAAAATAAAAGTGAAATGATGAGAGTAGGTTATGAAAATTACTCCTGAATTCACTCTAATGGAATATCTATTGAAAACAATTTTTTAAATTCTCACTGGCTTTTCAGTTTATGTCTACACATTATGTCTGTTAATTTTGGAAGAAAGCAATGTGTATGTTTAAATAGTTTGTTAAAATAACCATTTTCCTGACTTAAATTTTTAAAAATAGAAAATACAAAAAGATATGAAGAGAGAATCCAATTAACAGTTTGCATATAAATCTAGATCTTTTTTCTATGCATATCTACTTCAATGTATTTTGTTTTACAAAAAAAAATATGTATGTTTTAATCTGTCTTAGTACAGTTTCCTCAAAAGCAGAGATTGAGGCAGAAGCTATGAGTGTAATATTTTATCAAGGAATATACTCCAGGCAAACAAAAGTAAGGCAGGGTCTGGGAAGTCAGACAAGCAGGGAGAGGATGATCTGCACATCCTGAGCTGGCCACATCTTCGCATCAAGCACAGCTTCTTGCTAGGTTTCACAATCATCTGCAGAGAGGCTGTATTAAACAACTTTGTCTCAGAACAGCCCATGGTTAAGCATTTGTAAAATGCACGTAATGACAAAATTCAAAGTATACAACAAAATTCCCTAATTTATGGGCACTGATGGAATAGTACGGTGATGACACATGGTAAAGCCTCAATAAATGATAGCTGTTATATAAATGGTAGCTATTATACGATTATACACATATACTCTCTGCTCCCCTACCCCCCACACACATGTCCCTGGACTCATTTACTGAACATTCTCCATTCATTTGATCTTATTTTGTCCTTATTCATGAACTTTACACTCTCTTCAGGGCCAATCAATGCTGTAACTGTGAAGCATCTCACATTTATCTTTCACTTACCTTACATTTACAGAGTACTTACTCGGTGTCAAGAGCTGTTTTAGATGTTGTTATATAGTCTATCTTATTTTCATAAGACTTGTGTGGTCGATATTTTTAACTTCATGTTATGTATGATGAAGCTGATCATCTACGGTTTGTTTTTTTTAAGATTTTTATTGGAGAATTGGGGGATGGGAACAGTGCTGGGGAATTGGGGGAAGGGGAACAGACTTTTGTTCTTCAGTCTAGTTATGGAGGACGTTGCTTCACTGACCCAAGTTGGCACCATCATTGTGCTCTTCCCGGGAGAGGCAGATCAGTCGCCGGCTTCTGGACGGCCGCTCACTGTGGCTGCTGGCCAATCATGCTGGCTGCTGGCTACACACGGTAGCCCATGGCAACCCACTGTCACAGGGGTTGCAGCCTACGCCATTGCCAGTGACTCCCAGCAGCCCAGCTCCAGGTTGAGCTGTTGTTCAGCATCTTAGCTGTGGAAGGCAGTGTCACTGGCCCTCATATGTGGGATCCGAACCGGGGCCCTCTGGCATCCCAAGCCAGCTCTTAACCAACGTGCCACCCGGCTGGCCCGGGAAGCAAGTTAAGATGCCTCTATACTTAAAAACACATACATAAATTATTGCAATCATATAAAAATTATACATTCACATGGGCAAGAATTAAAAGAAAGCAGGGAAGAATAGAAACTGACTTGAGGGGTGTCAAGTATATGGATGAAGATTTTTCTTTGATTTCTGCTATTATAATTATGTCAGTCACCTTCAACAATTAATAATGCTTCTTATATCATGAAGGAAAATTCAAGTCAGCACTGTTGCCAATTGTAATC